ATGCTTCTTGTGCATCTCATAAGGCTTCTTCATCATATACACATGCACATACTCATCATGTACATCATAAGCATGCTAATGGCATCTCATAAGGCTTCTTCATCATATACACATGCACATACTCATCATGTACATCATAAGCATGCTAATGTGTTTAAATGTGATTTTTGTGGTAGATTTTTCCATTTGGTAAAGTTTTGCTTTGATTTGAGAAAATATTCAAACTTGCCAAAATTTTCAAATAAACCACTTTTGTTTAACAATGTTTCTTATTTGCAAAATAAATTTATAAGACCATCTATTTTTTCAAATGAATCCCGTGCACAAGTTTGTGGTCAACCAAATCAAATAGGCCTCTTTCATTGCACTTATTGCAATCAGAAATGCCATTTGCATAATTTTTTCTTTAACCGTGTTAGTGCACCACATGCGTCCAAACAGATTCATAACCCTAAGGTTTTGAGCTTAACTGATAGGGGTCATGTCCCTAAACCTTTTGGTACCAAGAACACTTGGGTACCAAAACAAATTTGATTTTTTTAAACCAAAATTTTTAATGTTTTTATTTTTTTATTTTTTTATTTCTTGGTTTTGGAAAACTTTTATTTTTATGATTTAAATATTGATTTATGATTTTATTTGGTTGGATTGTTTTCATATGAAAACTTTTTTCATGATTCTCATGTTTTCTTTCTTTTGATTTCATAAATCTATTTTATACATTATTTTTATGTTTGAGTAATGAGATATAATTTTCATAGTGATATATTTATATGTGTTCTCATTGTCTTTTTGTATGTGAGTTGTGCTTAGCATATTTTTCATATATGCTTGCTCACATGTTTTGCAATGATCTTCATTGCATATATTCAATAAGACATTTTGATAGGGGGAGCCATTCCCTATATTTGTTTTATACTCACTCATGCTTATTGGTAGGGGGAGCTTTCGCTCTCTCCATTCTTTTGTTTTCCCCTTTTTGATGTTGTCAAAGGAGGAGAAATATTATGAGTATATTCTTTTTATTTATATGCATGATAATTATAATTTGAATATTTATTTCATTTCATGCACATATATCTTTTTGTAAATTATTTGTCATCATCAAAAAGAGGGAGATTATTGAGTCCTTTTGTTTTGATGATTATTAACAAACAATTTATAACTAATATTATTTGTCTAGTGTTTGTATTTTGTATTTATTCTATGCAAATAATATGTTGGAGGATGGATGGAATTACGCCATAACGATCATATCAAATGAAGGTTGGCGAAAATTGTGGTATGAAACAATACAATTCAAGTTGAAGATCCAAGTTTAAGCTTCATCCGCAAGTTTACCAAGATAGAGCTTCGTTGAAGATCACAAGCTTGGGTAAATTAGTTTAGGGTTTATATTATGTGTGTTAGACACTTTAAGCTCAATATCATATACACACACATTTTATTGGTTTCTATGTATATATATAGTTATGTATATATACACAAGTTTTGGTTTTATAGTTTACAAGTTTATATAAATATGAAACCTATATTATTGTTTACATATATATACATGTTTTATATTTATCATTTTGTTAAATGCATATTGTGCAAAACTTTATTTTTGCATAATATTAAGTTTTTGGTTCATAGACTTAACAACAATAGTTTGTATCTTTTATCAAGTCTATAAAATTAGTTTATAAAGTTTTCAAAACATGGTTTAGTCAAAATGACAAAACAAGTGTTGTTGTATTTTCATGTTTTGGACTTATTTTAAAAAATGAAGAGATTTTTTATTTGGGAGGTGCTTTTTGAAAACCAATTTTTGTAACATGTATATTATCATGTTTACAGTCATTTTCCAAAATTTTATATTTTTTTGATTTTATTTGCTATTTTTAAAAGGGGTTTGAAAATCAGATCTCTGTTTTAAAACAGGCTAATAACCTGTTATTAGTCGACTGGTAAGTCGACTGATGACATAAGTTGACTGATGTGTTGATTGAAGAAAACGTTTGGAATAACAAAAAAGTTTTATTTTTTGTTTTGGTCAACTGACCAGTCGACTGACGAGATCGTCAGTCGACTGATAAAGTCGTCAATCGATTGATGAGCTGGAAAATGCCTCTAACAGTCAGCTCATCAGTCGACTGTTGAAAGTCGTCAGTCAACTGATGCTGTAACAGTTAGTTTTTTCCAGCATGTTCTAGTTTTGGTTTTTTGGTATTTTTGCCTTGTTTTCTCTTGGCTTTGGGGTTCCTATAAATACTCCCACATATCCTTAGTTCTAAATATTTTAAGAGAATGTTTTAAAAAATTTTAACAAGGGTTTAAAGTTTAATTTAAGTTTGTTTAAAAAGCTTTTAAGCATTTTTCTAGTTTCGGTTTGTGAAGAGAATTTCAGAAGAGCAAGTGGAGATCATCTATTGGTGTTTGAGCATTCAACTCTTCTCCCTCTCTCTTGTTTTCTATAGAGAAGTTTTCTTAAACTCAATTCTAGCTATTTTATTGTTTTGATTCTAATTTCCATAAGCTAGATTTTATTATTGAGTTTAATTGTTTAATTGATACTCTTTGTTTACACACACAACCATTGAGCTTATTGTATTTGCATATATTATATAATTGGGTTGTGGGATTGTGTGACTTAGAGTGTGAGCTTTCATTGTGTTCTCATCCATAGTAGAGAACAATCATTGTTGCATTTGTGCTATTATTGTGAGGTTCACTTTGTATTACACTAGCACACCAAGAGGTGGGTGTGGTGAGAGACGGGGTCGTCCCAAGAGGAGTGGGGTAGGTGGTAATGCCTAGAGAGGTTGTAATTCCTAACACTTGAGGGAGACATGGGCTAGAGACCAACACTTGAGGTGGTAGTTAGTATGGTTACATTGTGAGTGATTGTGAACGTTGATTGGTGAGCATTGAAAACCAACATTATGAGGTGTAAACGTTTTTCGGGCAAGCGTAGAAAACCCGGTGTGATAGTGAAGATCTCCTCGAGGTGAGGAACAGAGACGTAGGTCGTGGGGACCGAACTTCGTGATCATATCATTTGTTTGTGTTTGTCATTGTCGTTCCTTTATATTCGTGCTTATCATTTATACTGTCTTTGTCAATTGCTTGTTGTTTATATTGCCCTATCACTTTAGTAGTTTGTTTACCCTTATGTTACTTATATATCCTTGCACATATATCTTGTTGCATATCATATTTGCTAGGATAACTTGTTAATAAGTTTTTAATTGGCATAAATTGGATTAGATTAGCATAAATCCTATTCACCCCCCCTTAGGGTTCTTTCCTAGTGGCATTAGGGTGCTTTCAGGGAGCAGTGTCCAGTGACTGATGAGGAGAAAGACTACATGGTGAAGTTCCATATGATTCAGCCATTAGAAGTCTTATGTACGCCATGGTGTGTGCGAGGCCTGACATTGCCCATGTAGTGGGAGCTGTGAGTAGATTCATGTCAGATCCAGGAGAATAGCACTGGGAAGTAGTGAAGTGTATTCTAAGATACCAGTGGGGTACCATAGAGAATTGTTTATGCTTCAAGAGAGGCAAGTTGGATCTGCAAGGATTTGTTGATGCAGACTTTGCTGGTGAGATAGATCAGAGAAGGAGCACTACGGGGTATGTGTTCACATTGGGTACTACTACCATCAGTTGGGTCTCCCAGTTGCAAAAGATCGTTGTTTTATCGACTACAGAAGCAGAATATGTTACTGTGATAGAGGCAAGCAAGGAGATGATATGGTTAAAGGGGTTCTTGGAGGAGTTGAGATAGAAAAATAAAAAGAGTGTCTTACACTATGATAGTCAGAGGGCCATCCATTTGGCAAAGAACTCAGCTTTTCATATTAGGACCAAGCATATACAGGTTTGTTATCACTCCATAAGGTCAGCCTTGGATGATGACGTGTTGGAGCTTGTGAAGATCCAAGGAAGCAAGAACCCGGCTGACATGCTTACGAAGACTGTCATTATGGAGAAACTAAAATTGTGTTCAATTTCAGTTGGCCTCATTACTTGATAATATGGGAGGCCGTTGCCACATGGAAATGTTATAAAGACTAAAAGTTAGTCTCCAAGTGGGAGATTGTAAGGCTATGTGGAGCCTAACTATCAGACTCAGACCTATTCGCTACATTGAAGAGAAAAACAGGCAAGAACAGGAAAAACGAAGCAGGCAACGTTTTGGGTGCTGGCCGGTCGACCGCGAGGCAAGGCTCGGTCGACCGGAAAACATGCACACTACAGGGTGTGTTTCTACATTCTGACCGATCGATCGTGAGGCTAGGCCCGGTCGATAATTGGTTTCCTAAGATTTTAACATTCTGGTCAGTCAACTATGTCATTGTTGGCGATCGACTACGACTCGGGTTTGGGCCTGGGCTCGTTTTTTGGTCTGTTTGAGATTCTTGTTTGTAAGAACCCTATGCTATAAAAAGGGATGATTAGGGCAGCTTGTAAACTGACCCGAGAATAGTAAAAATTTTCTTGCGGCGGCCGTGGACGTAACTTCTCTCGTTGAGAAGTGAACCACGTAAAATTCTCTATATTCTCTGTGATTGTTCTTTTTCTTCTTCCTCATATCTATTTCCAAATCGCAACAGGGGTTAGAAAACCCAACAACACAATCTCATAATTTATTAAACGCAATCCAAAATGTATCAAAAGAAAGTGGAAAATGGTACAATAACTCAATTTAGTTTTGGTTTAAATGATAAGTAGCTCAAATTGTAAACCACGCTGCAGCAAATCCAACAAATGTTTGATGTAGCTTGAGTTAGGTTTAACTCCATTCTCCATGGAAGCCAACTCACCCAAATACACCCTCAAAGTACAAGCTATGAATATTCTCAAGCCTACAAGCAAAGTATAAACTATAAAGCCCCCCTAAAATCTTATTGTAAAGTGCTCAGACATATCCTTTTCTTTAACAAGCAACATAACAAGAAAGTAAGAGCCCTGGCATGCTACAAATACCCAACCCCATTATGTGCTATCTTCAAGCCCCTTTAATCTCTACTTCCTACACAAAATAAAATATAAGCAATGGCTATCTCCAAGTTTTTGTTGATTTTGTGCCTTCTTCCGCTTTTAATGGCAATGGCTGCTGCAGCTCAATATAGAGTTGGAGGCTCGGCTGGCTGGACTATTCCGGCGGACCCTAACACGATGTCGTACAACCGGTGGGTGGAGAGGAGTCGGTTTCAGATTGGAGATTCACTGCGTAAGTTGTTTAATTTACTAGAAGTGCTGTTGTGTATAGTTGTTTGACTGGCATGAGTTTGAGCAGCAAAAGCAAATGTTGTAGTACTCAAATTTCTATTTCCAGTGCTTTGTTAGAAGCCAAATTTCTATTTTCAGTGTTCTGTTAGCAGTACGGCACGAAGGGGAACGGTAGGGGTTTTCAGTTTGCAGTAAAATCTACATCATCTGCATAGTCAATTTGGTTTCGCCAAGTACTGCAATTCTTTTCTTTTTATTTTTCTTTTTTTTAAAGGAGTTTTTAAAGAATTGTACTGCAATTCTTACGTGAAATTAAAAAAAATTTAATTTAAAATTTAATGTCTATGTTATCAGGTCAGTCTCAGCTTCAACGCATGAAATGTAAATAGTTTTACAATGGCAACTAAACAAATCCTTGATCCCAATGCATTTACTACAACAAAGTAATAAAGATGTAAAACCAACAGTTTTACCACTAACCAAGGAGTGGATTTGAATTTGGAAAATACATTTACTTACAAAAAAAAATGCAGACATACAAATGACGCATCTGAAGCTGATTAATTCCTACAAGTGCTACAACAAGTAGTGCATGCAGCATTCTCTACATGTAACATTTTCTGCATTTACAATCATGGCTTGCAGTATTCGTCTACCCTCCCGACAAAGATTCAGTACTCCAGGTGACACAAGACGCCTACAACACTTGCAACACATCCTCCTTCATCCACCAATTTGACGATGGCAACACTGTGTTCACCTTCCACCGGTCAGGGCCGTACTACTTCATCAGTGGCAAGGAGGCCAACTGCAGGAGGAACGAATCGATGGTTGTGGTAGTGGATGCTGACCGGTAGCAACGAGCGTCTCTTTAGGGTCCTACGTCTCGCGTCTCCAACGACATATGGCGCCCCTTGCTCCTCCTGCCTCCCGGCGTGCGGGGACATTGTGACGTCGTGTCTGCTTCTCTCGCCTGCGCGAGTCTAGGTGGAAGCTACGCGATCCGATCGGTATTTCGCGCCGGCCGTCGGAAGCTGCACCAGCGCCGGCATCGCCGAATTCGGCTTCCTTGAAGGTGGTGGGATTTATGAGCTCGGTTGGAACCCTTCTGGGGGCAATTCTCTTCGTGTTTTGAGGTGTGTGAGATTGTTGTGTTTTGAGTAAGTGTGGAATTGTTGTGTTTTATTGCTTGGTTTGAGAGGTCATTGAGACTGCTTTCTTTGGTCTGATTGTATTGCAAGCTTTTCAGTTTGTGAGTAGCAATAAAAATTTACAAAGAGAAAAAGAATTACAGATACTTCATTTACCATCATAAACTATTTAATTGGTATTCACACTTGCTAAACTCCAGACAACATTATTTCTCAAATTAGGTGAGATTTCATGTGGAAATCATATAACGGCAAATTATATTTTAATTAGATTTTCTTCTCAATTTTAACTGAAAAAAATTAAATTGGCTAGCCCGATGGCAAAAAGTAACGCATGCATCACCATTGTACAGAAGTTGTACTCGAATTAACTGAAAAGATAACAATCGAAGGAGGGTTCATTTTAACTGAAAAAGATTAAATTAGCAAGCCCGAGGGCAAAAAGTAACGCCTGCATCACCATTGTACAGAAGTTGTACTAGAATTTACTCAAAAGATAACAATCGAAGGAATCGAAGGAGGGTTCATTGAGAAAGGAACTCTGCATTCGAAACAAGATTGAAGAATTTTATCACGAAAATAGCAAGAGGTCCAAACATGCATTTTTCCGTTGAGTCCTATAAAATGGAAAAAGTCTGATTAAGCTAAAAAAAAACACCTTTTGTCGTCACTCAACAAAATGGGTGAACAAATGAGCCTTCAACCTCTCATGACCCTCATGACCTACTTTATGAGTCCATGAACAAAAAGGCTCAAATCTTGACAATCACGGTATAAAATTCTGTTGAACACCTGAAATTATGTTCAAAAGATGGAACTCTATCAAGGAGAGAAGTCAAGGGAAAAATGAAACTCTATCATTGATCTAGAGCATACCGGATGCTAAAGCAAGCTCAGAATATTGCGAAGATTAGCGTCCTTCCTCAAACCAAAAATCTCAAAGTGAAATTGCTTGGAGTTTCTGTAGAATTGGTAGCAAGCTCAAGTTTTTCAGACTGACAGGGTGGCGGTCGACCGGCCCGGTCGACCGCTTTCGTGCACATGGTTCAGTGGGCGTCAGAATTGGTGGCGGTCGACCGGCGCGGTCGACGCTCGGGGCCGATCTCTGGAAATTTGATCCTGATACGTGGATGGCAAGGGCGGGTCGATTGGAACCGGATGGGATCGGGCGGTGCTGAATCCGCATGGATGCGGGGTCGACTCGTACGCTGGTCGACACTTCGGCGCGGGCGGAAGGCGGTTTGGGACTGGGTTTGTTTGCCAGACCCGTTTCGTTTGTGAGTTGTATATAAACCCTAAACTCGTTTCTAGGGTTAAGCTTGGGCGATTTTGAGCTGCTGAAAGGGGATTTTGAGGGCTTCTATTGTTGGAGTCTATTAGAGAGATCAATTGGTCTTGTTTGAGGGTTTTGGGTAAGATTTGTAACCCTAATTTGTATTCCCCTTTGATTTCATTAGTAAAGCTTCGCCCTCCTTGCCCCGTGGACGTAGGCACATTGCCGAACCACGTATATCTTGTGTTCTTGCTATAATTGGTTGGCTTGTGTTCACTTGTGGTCTACTATTGTTCTTGTGTGTGCTTTTGATTTGGCTATTTGGGGCTTCCGCGGCGCACAACAAGTGGTATCAGAGCTTCGGGTTGGATTTGGGAGTTTATTCGAAGGATTCATTGTTGGATTCTTGTTGGGAGAGTAGATCTACAATATGGTTGAAACAAGCAAGGCTAGTTCAAGTGCTACAAGTACATCGGGGTCGACTTTGACAAAGTCTATCCAAAGTTTGAGCATCAATAATACAAAAATTGATGTTCCAAAGTTCGACGGCAAGATAAATTTCAGCTTATGGAGGTGTCAAGTAATGGACGCCTTAGATGCACAAAATTTGGAGGAGACTCTTGAGCTACAAGAGAAACCCAAAGATGTTGAAGACAATGTTTGGAAGAAAATGAATAATAGGGCTTGTGGGGTGATTCGTTCATGCTTGACGCCAGATCTCATTTATGATGTGATGAACGAGACATCGGCAAATAGATTGTGGGAAACGCTCAATGAAAAATATTTGACAAAGAGCATTGAGAATAGGCTTCATTTGAAGAAAATGTTCTACTAATTCAAGATGAAGATAGGAGTTTCCATTCGAGAGCATGTTAACAACTTCACAAAGCTAATTTCGGATATGGCCAATGTTGATATCATGGTGGAGGATGAAGACAAGGCGATGTTACTATTGTGTTCGTTGCCGGATGATGAGTTTAGTACTTTTGTTCTCACTATGATAAATGGGCGAACTACAGTTAGCTATAAGGAGGTGACCTCGGCATTGGTAAATTATGAGCTGAGGAGGAATGATGATGAGCCCTCCGAGAAGGCATCGGGTGATGCATTAGCAGTTCGTGGCCGTCGTCCAAACCGTCAAAGGTTCAACCGCTCAAAATCAAAGAATAGGGGTGGCCATAAAAGTGTTGGTAGAAATCAATGTGTCTTTTGCAAAGAAGAGGGACATTGGAAGAATGAGTGCCCAAAGTTAAAGGATAGAGCCGGGAAGCAAAGATGAAAAGCTGTACAAGCTTCAGAGGTGAATGTTGCTAAGGTTGTTGGTGACATTTCAGATTCGGATTCTTCCGGTTATTCTTGTCCCGCACTGCCGTCAGTTTGTTATGCCGACTCTACGGAGTGGATGCTTGATTCGGGAGCTACATTTCATATTTGCCCTAAGAGGGATTGGTTTACCAACTTTGAGGAGTTGAAGAGAGGAGACATGGTGCTCATGTTTGAGGAGGTGAAGAGAGGAGACGTGGTGCTCATAGGGAACGATCACGTTTGTCCTATTAGTGGGATTGGCTCAGTCAGAATCAGAATGCATGACGGGGTGACTAGGGAATTGAAAGAAGTGAGGTTTGTGCCGCAGTTGACGAAGAACCTCATTTCTTTTGGGACATTGGAGGCATCCGGTTATAGAGTGATATTAGAGGATGCTAGTTTGAAGGTCATGAAGGGGTCCATGGTGGTGATGCGAGGTGTCAGGGAAAATAACCTATACTACTTGAAGGGCAAGACAGTTACAGGGGGTCTGGCGACTTCTATCACCACAGAAGAGGACACTACAACACTATGGTACATGAGGCTTGGACACACAGGTGAAAAGTCCCTACAGTCATTGGCAAAACAGGGGCTATTGAAAGGTGCAAAGACCTGCAAGATGGAGCTGTGTGAGCATTGCATTCTTGGGAAGAAGACTAAAGTGAAGTTTGGCACCGCAATTCACAACACCCAAGGTATATTAGACTACATTCACATAGATGTTTAGGGTCCTTCCAAGCACACATCGCTTGGTGGGGCAAATTATTTTGTCACTTTCATTAATGATTATTCTAGGAGGAATTTGGTATATACCATGAATCATAAACATGAGGTCCTGGATATATTTGTGGAGTGGAAGAAGAAAGTGGAGATGCAGACAGGTAGAAAGGTGAAGACTCTTCGTTCAGACAATGGTGGAGAGTATAAGAGTGATCCATTTCTACAGTTTTGCTGGGATCATGACAGTAGAAGACACTTCACAGTTAGAGAGATTGAACCGTACCTTGCTGGAGAAGGTACGATGTATGATGACACAGAGTGGATTATCTAGATCTTTTTGGGCCGAGGCATTGTTTTATGCGAGCCATCTCGTTAACAGGTTGCCGTGCACTGCGATAGAGGGAAAGACTCCTTTGGAGCGTTGGTCTGGTTCTGTGGCTAGTGATTATGAGACTCTTCGGATATTTGGGTGTCCAGCTTATTTTCATGTCAGTGATGGAAAGTTAAATCCGAGAGCGAGAAAAGCTGTTTTTGTGGGATTTAGAGAAGGTGTCAAAGGCTTCAAATTATGGGAACTACAAGACAAGAAGATGCTCATTAGCAGAGATGTCACATTTGATGAGGCGTACATGATGAAGCCTCGGATTCCTCAGCAGGTAGAGGAAGATCAGACAGGAGGGATATCACAGCAGGTGGAGGTTGATGTGACTCCACCCACTCCAGACAGCACTGTGTCCATTGAGGCTCCTACAGGTGTGACACTAGGAGGAGATAAGATGACAGTCGGGCATGAGGAGGATACAGTGGATGGTGAGGCTCAGGAGCAGGGTCATGCTCAGGGGTCCATTGCAGCAGACAGACCGAGGAGAGAGATTCGTCGGCCAGCTAGATATGATGAGGTCATGGTGGCATATGCTTTATCTGTGGAGGTCGTTGATGATTTTATTCCCGCCACATTCAGGAAGGCAGAGTTCAGCCCTCATTCCATTAGGTGGAGGAATGCTATGGAGGAGGAGATGCAATCTCTTCAGAAGAACGACACTTGGGAACTTGCAAAGCTACCGAAGGGTAAGAAAGCTATTGGTTGCAAGTGGGTGTATGCTAAGAAGGAGGGATCTTCTATTGGGGACATTCGGTTCGAGGCCAGATTGGTTGCCAAGGGATATGCACAGCTTGAAGGTATTGATTATAACGAGGTATTTTCACCCGTTGTGAAGCATTCATCTATTCGGATTCTATTGGCATTGGTGGCACAGCTGGACTTAGATTTGGTCCAAATGGACGTGAAGACAGCCTTTCTACATGGAGACTTAGATGAGGAGATCTACATGACACAACCTATGGGGTTTAAAGCTACAGGAAGAGAATATTTGGTATGCAAATTGAAGAAATCTCTTTATGGACTGAAG